TCAAGGAGCTTTCAGTCTAGTGGGGGAAGGCAGTAAGCAGGCTAATGTATGCAAACAAGCTCTACAAAGCATAGATGAACAATTGGAAGTGGGAGGGCACAGGAGTCAAGAGCCTTTGGGAAAGGCTTCCAGTAGAAGGTGAGATTTTAGTGGGGTGTTAAAAAAGCCAGAGGGGGTGGTGGTTGGAATGGAGGAGGGAGAGTGTTTCAGGCATGAGGGGCAGCCAGAGAGAATGCCAGAACTAGGGATGGAGGGTCTCGTCTCAAACAGGCAGGAGGCCAGGACTAGGATGGGGGAGGGGGCCAGGTTATGAAGGGCTTTGAATGTCAAACAGAGTATTTTGTATTTGCCTCTGGAGGCAATTGGGAGCCACGGGAATTTATTGAGTTGGGGGGTGACATGATCAGCTCTGCTCTTTAGGAAGAGCACTTTTGTGTCTGAATGGAGGATGGATTGAAGTCAGGAGAGTCTTGGGACAGGCAGACCCACCAACAGCTACTACAGTAGTACAGGCATCGGGTGATAAGGGTCTGCACCAGGATGGGGGCAGTGTCAGAGGAGAGGAGGAGGTGTATTTGAGAGATGCTGCAAAGGTGAGATCACAGGCCTTGGCAACAGCTTGGATGTGGGGTGTGAGAGATAGTGAAGAGTCCAGGATGATTCCTAGATCGGAAGCCTGAGGGTGGGGGATGCTGCCCTCTACAGTGGTAGGGAAGGTAGATGAGGCGGGGAGGAATTGGAGGAAAGATAATGAGTTCTGTTTTGGGCATGCTAAGTTTATTGATGCCTACTGGACATCCTATTCAAGATATCTGAAGTTTTAGGGGCAGGATAGGTAGGTTTGAGAATCATCATCATAGAGATGGTAATTAAATCCATGGGAGCTAATGAGATCACCAAATGAAGTTGTATACAGGGGCAAGAGAAGTGGGCCTAGGATTGAGCCCCATGGGACACATAGAGGGTGTGACCTTGGTGAAGATCCAGCAAAGGAGAGTGAGAAGGAGAGGTCACATAGGGAAGAGGAGAACTTGGCAAGAGATGTCCTGTAAACCCAGAGAGAAGGGAGTACCAAGGAGGAGAGGGGGATCAGTTTCGTCAAAGGCTGCAGAGAGGTCAAGAAGGATGAGGACTGAGAGAAGGCTATTGGATTTGGCCATTGAGAGCTCATCGATAACTTTGGAGAGAGCGATTTTATTGGAATGATGAGGTAAAAAAACTGGATTGTCGGGGGTTAAGAGAGTGAGAAGAGGGAAGGTAGAGGCACCTATTGTAGATGACCTCGAGGAGTTTAGCTATAAAGGACAGAAGAGTTATAGGCTCAGTTGAGACATGGGCCTGTTTCTATCAGTGGAGAAGGAGCCAGTAGAAAGGGAGAAGTTGAAGATAAGTGAAAGAGAGGGAAGGACAGAGAGAGCAGTCTGTTGGAGGAGATGGTGTGGAATGGGATCACTTTTGAAGACAGAGGTTTGCCTTAGTAAGGAGTAAGGCCGCCTCTTCGTGTGAGTCAGAGGTGAAGGAGATGATGGTGGAAGGCCCCAGAGTGGTAGGAGATGAAAAAGGGGAGGAGAGAGAGCTCACAGTGAATGGCAAGGTTCTCAGCTCAGAGGGTAGGGGCAGGGGGAGCCAGAGGAAGTTTGAGGAGAGATGAGAAGGTTGGAAGAGCCGATGTGCATCAGCATAGTGAGTTGATAAGGGAGGTATGTAGCACGGTTGCCTGACAACAGTGAGGGCCTAGTTGAGATTGTGTAACAAATTTGTAGTGGCCCCAGTCAAAGTGATTGTGTGATTTTCTCTACCTTTGTTCAGCAGTGTATATGTCAGAGGGAAGGTGATGGATGGTGGGGGCGACCCAAGGCTGAGGCTTGGCTGGATGCAATTAGTTAAATGATGAGGAGACCAGAGACTTGAGAGCTGAACTGTCACGATGGAGATGAGGAGGGAGAGTGGCTGGTTCAGGGGGGGATGGCCTGGGAAAGAACTGAGCAAGGGATCTGAGGTCATGGTGTGCATGAAGGGTAGGGTTTGGTAAGGAAGGCAGAGGGGGAAGTGGACAGCCAATAGATCATGATCTGCTGAGGGGACTTCAGAATTCTTGAACATGGAGATGGTGCATGTGTGGGTGGTGGCAAGACCAAAGGCTGTCTACGCATATGGCTTTGAGGTGGGGTGGAGGTGTAGCTCATGGGAAGTGACTAGCACAGGGAACTGAATGGGTTAGGGTGTGTGAGGGAGAGTCTGTGTGTATGTTGATATTCACTACAACGAGGGCAGGAGTTGAGAAGGAGAGAAAAATTGTGAACCAGGTACTGAGTTGTTGAGGAAGGAAGGGGAGCGACCTGGAGGTCTGTAGGACAACCACTACTATGATTTTGATTGGGTGGTACATATGGCTTGCATGAACCTCAGAGGAGGAGAGGTTACTAAGTGTTGGAGATGGGGAAGAACCTGGAAGTAGCGATGGGGAGTGAGCCTAGGGAAGTATGTAATGATGCAACCAGGACTGTCAAAGGTGGCCAGGGAGGTTATGTCAGAAGGGGAGGGGCAGGTCTAGGGGATTGCTAGAAGGTGGGAGGAGAGAGAGAGGAAAAGATTTAAGATGAAGGCAAGTGTGTTGTCTACAGAACAAGCATTCCGGAGGGCACAGTAGAAGAAATGGTAGCATTTGGTTGGGACTTTGGGATGAGAAGGTTGAGGGGATGGAATCAGGAATCAGGTAGTGGGGAATGGGGTTTGGGTGGTGACCAGTAGGGGTTCAGAATCGCTGAGATGTGTAAGGTATGAGTGTGTTTGTCATTGTGTGGAAGGCACCACTCTACCCAGAGGAGACTGAGATGGAAGGCATACAGTCAGATGGGAGGCAGGCTGGAGACTAAGCAGGAGATGGAAATCCTGCTCTCTACCCACTTTCCTCCTTCCCTTCCATCAGAGAATATGCCTAGCATCCGTGGAAGGTGCACAGTCAGAGTAAGGTCACTCCTCAAGAACACCTGAAGAAAAAAAGTGGAGAAGAAATGAGAGCTATGGAAGAAAGAATTGGAAAGGGATTAACAGCCTGGCACAAGAGATACAAAACCTTCTCCAGATAACAAATGTGCTGAAAATTGGAATGGACCGAATAGAAGCCAATGACTTTATGAGACAAAGAGAAATATTTAAACAAAGTAAAAGAGTGTAAGTTATCTCAAGGTAAAAACAACTGATCTGGAGATCAAGGAGTTAAAATTTAAGAATCATTAGATTACCCAAGAGCCATGACTAAAAAGAAAAAGAAAAGAAAAGGAAAGAAGGAGCCTAGACATGATATTTCAAGAAATGTGAAAAGAAAACTACTTAGATCTCTTAGAATTAGAATGCAAAGTGGAAATAGAATTCATTGATCACATCCTGAAAGTTACCCCAAAGTGAAAAATTCCAGGAACATCACAGCCAAGATCCAGGGCTTCTAGGTCAATGAAAAAATATTTGAAGCAGCTGGAAAGAAAGAATTTAAGTACCAAGGAGCCACAGTCAGGATCACACATAATTTAGCAGCAGCTCCTATAAAGGAGCAGAGTTTGGAATATGATATTCCAGAAGGCAAAGGGCATATTTACAGCCAAGAATAACTTACCCAGAAAAACTGAGTATAATCCTACAGAGGAGAAAATGGATTTTTAATGGAATAGAAGGCTTCCAAATATTTTTGATGAAAAGACTAGAGCTACATAGAAACTCTGAAGCTCAAACATGCTAGTTAAGAGAAACATAAAAAGATAAACATGACTAAACAATCATAAGGAGCAAAAAATGATAATTGCCTGCATTCCAGTATGGGGAGATGATACGGGTGTCTCCTTTGACCCCTGTCATCATCAGGGGTCATAGAGTGAGTCTAATTAGACAAAGCTTGGGAATGGTTCTTCTATATCTTGATGATCTTAAGAGAAGAATAGAAGGAGAGGTGAAGAGGCATACATCAGAGGGGGAAGGAAAAGGAAGGTTAGGAAAAATTGTGTCCTGTAATCAGGGTGTGTAAGTAGAACCAGTGGCTGATGCTTGAACCTCACTCTCATCTAACCTGGTCAAAGGAAGAATAACACAAATATAGAGCTAGGTACAGAGATATTTCACTCAACAGGGAAGTATGAGGGAGAAGTGGAGAATTAGGGAGGGCAGGTTAAGGGCAGCCAGGTGATGCAGTGGAGAGAACGTCGCACCTGGAATCCAGAAGACTCATCTTCCTGCGTTTAAATCTGGCCTCAGGCACTAGCTGTGTTACCCTGAGCAAGTCACTTAACCCAGTTTGCCTCTGTTTTCTTATCTGTAAAATGAGCTAGAGAAGGAGATGGCAAACCACTCCAGTGTCTCTGCCAAGAAAATCCCAACTGGGCTCCTGAAGAGCTGGATACGACTGTAATGACTGAACGACAAAAAGGTTAAGGGAGAGGTTAGTCCTAAGCAAAACAGAAAAGGAATAAAAATATTTATAGCTTTTTTTGAGTTGGCAAAGAATGGGCATTTCAGAGGGTACCTGTCAGCTGGGGAATGGCTAAACAAGTTATAGTATATAAATATGATGGAATATTTTTATGCTGTAAGAAATGATAAAGGGGATTGTTTCAGAGGAACCTGGGAAGACTTGTCTGAACTGATGCAGAGTAAAGTGAACAGAAGCAGCAGAACAGTTAGGAGCTTTGATCAGCGCAGTGACCAACCCTAATTCCATAGAGTTGATGAGGAAACACGCTACCCACCTCCTGATAGAGAGGTGAAGGGCTCATTGCAAAATGAGATACATATATTTTTGTACATGGACAAAGGGGAAATTTGTTTTGCTTAACTCTGAATTTTTGTGACGGGTTTTGTTTTTCTTTCATTCTTAGTTGGGGGAAAGGCAGGGGTGGAAGGGAGAGAAGGTAGATTTTTGCTGATTGAAAAAAAATAATGAACAAAACCTGCCAGATTCTTAGCAGCTGCAGAAGCTCTCACCCTTTTCTTTCTTTTATTTTCCTTTTCAGAAGACAAATGGAATACCTATTGCTTGTCTTCACTGGCTGCCCAAAATATTTGTATGAGCCGATTCAGCGTGATGCCCCCGCTGGAGCATTCTGAACTGCCCAGTGCTATATGTAATTCTTCCTATACCTCCTTACTGAACAGCTTCTCTTCGAAGTCATCCCTTCACTCTCTATCTGCGTCTGTGTACACGTGTGCCCCAAATAAAGCCGTGCTCATAGTGGACTTGAAGACGATGAAGGTAGTGTTAGCTTTGGTCCTGAGGACCAGCCATAGAAATGCCTCTTTTGTATTGGTGCTTTGAATCATGTCGGAAGGGTAATTTGTGTGCTTGTCGAGCAGTCTTAGGACAAAATATTTGGGCCCATCTTTGTAAAGTAAAAAGACTGAAACCCACATGAAGTTGAAGTTAGACGATAATTGGGTTTTTCTGCTCTTCCTTCACCATATTCACTGAGGGGTAAAGGAGTTTTCATTCAATTCTCCAGGCCCATCTGCTCAGTGATAAGAGGGGATCATGCTCGGTGTTGATGGAGGAAATATTCATACTGATAAATTTATAGATCCTTGCCATATTGACATAATTTGTTTATGAGGGTAGAGATTTAAGGGAGAAGAAGGGTAAACCATTTCCCATTATCTACTTAGCTGTTAGCCCAATTAAGAGAAAAATGGACTTAAAATGTTTCAGCTCTCTAAATGCATTTGCTTAGAAGCTAGTGGCCCACATCAACAGAAGAGGGGAGCTGTTGATGTCATTTCCCATTTTTAGTGTTCACATTTATGATTAGGAGCAGGTTGTCTGTAGTTTGATGACTGGATGAAATTGTGTTATTCTTGGCAGTATCTGAGACACTCTCATCATCATTTCTGCTTTGGAGTTTGGTCTGTAGGGTAGGAAATGCGAAGTGGTGCATAGGGAAGGAAAACCTTGTGGCTTAAGCTGTGTTATGATGGCAATGAGAGAGCAAAACAAGAAGCATTCTGGGATGTTACTGGTTTACATTTTTTTTTTTAAACTGGGCTCTAAGTGAGGTAAGAGGCTATAGCATCGGTGTTTGAACCTTGGGGGATTTGCTCCGAGCGATTTGTGCTTTCACCCTGCTCTGTCCCTTTCTAGATCCTCGTCATCAATGACCAAGCTTGCGACCTCCTCGGCTATGGTGGTCAAGAGCTGATTGGCCAGAGGTTGTCGGTGTTCTTTTCTAAATCCAGCACCTCAGTAGTGGAGGCGTTACTTAATGAATCTGATCCGACATCTGGACAAAACGTCATCGCTTTTGGAACAGTGGTGAGTGAGGCCTTCGTGCCTTGGAAGCCGGGCCTTTTTATAACCTTTACATGGTTCTTTTGTATTTTGCCTAGAGCCTGCCTTGATTTGTTTCCACCTTCAAAATTAGTAATTGTTCTCATCCTTAAAGTGGCCAATTCCATATGTATTTTTCATATCCAAAGTTTAATTGGCAGATCCCTTTGATAAATGAATATTTAAGTCTCCTGAGCACCTACTTTTCGTGGAAGTTTTTTTTTCTTACAGTGTACCATCCTTGGACGTGCCTAAATTGTGGTGGAAGTTGGGTTCAAGACGAGAATACTGAAGCCTAATTTCTCCAAGTGTATCTGGCCACATAAAAGTGCACGTGAAATGAACATAAGCGAACTATAAAATACGTGAAGAATTTGGAAAATGTTTACAACATTTTCTATTTCGGTTCTCTTCATGTGCCACCTTATGATTGTCACGGGGGTGGTTCTTCAAGGCCATACTGTCAGAGTGTGAGCCGGAAAGACACGGAGGCTGAGTGGGCTCCGTTACTGCCTTCAGAGAGACTCATCACCAGAATGCTGCCCACTCATCAGTCCATTTTGTTACCCCAGCTCCTCCAGAAATTTAAAGGGCTTTCAGGAATTACCGAATCAGAGTTTTAGAGCTAGGAGGGATTCAGAGGACAGAGGAGGATGAAGTGAGGCCCACATGAATGCAGTGGTCAGTCATAAAAGAGCTCATATGGGCACATAAGTGCTAAGAAGGAGAATCCAGGTTTGAACCTCTGTCTTTTGCCTCCAGCTTCCGGGGTCACCAGGGGATTGGGCTCAGGAAGTTCTGGGTTTGGGCAAATCCTCTCAGCTCTGTCTGCCTCAGTTTCCTATTTCTAAAATGAGTGTAATAATAGTATCTACTTCGTGGTGTTGTTGTGAGGATCAAATGAAGCAATTTTAAGATCCTTTCTACCTTTAACATTCTGTGACTTTAATTTGAAGCATTTTGGATCGATCCATTAAAGATGTGTTAGTTCTTGAGAAAGAGAAACCAGGTAAGAAAAACAGTATGTGTAGTTGTGGGAATAGTCATTTTAAGAAGTAACTTCCTTTTTTTCTTTTCCTGATGCATCATATATAGCTGAGGAGGAAGAAAATGATTTGATTTTTCTGATTCTCCCTTAAATCCTATTTCAGTGCCTCCTCAAGGCTGCGTCTGGCAGGCCTTCCTCAGCTGGAAAGACTGGGACCAGCCTCGCCCAGTACCAGGTGGTTAGAGGCTAGTACCAGGCTGCTGTCCAAGACCATCTCCCATGTCCCTCAGGGGAGCACTGCCCATGCTGCTGAGCTCCTGGGGCCATTCAAGTAGCTCATTTTCCTTAGAATCATCCAGCTCTGAAGGGTGCAATCCTAGTCTTTGGCTTTGGTGAAAGCCGGCCCCTTGGGGCGGGCTTGTCTTCTCCTGGACGCGAGGCCTCGTTGTCGGAGCTCCTCCAGGAGCTGGACTGGCTGGTGCTGTGGGCTTTGTGGAGGGATTCTGATCCTCGCCCTGTTCCCAGGTGGACCTCGTCTGCTCCAGCAAGGAGAAGATTCCTGTCTCTATCTGGATGAAGACTGTGGAGCACAATAGCTCTCCCTGCTGTGTGGTTCTGCTGGAGCCCGTGGAGAGGTTCACAGTCTGGGTCACTTTCCAGAGCGATGTGAGTTTGCTATGTTATTTCACTGTCACGTAGGGTTTTTTCCCCCTTAGTGCTTCAAAAATCTCTCCTCCCAGTTATACCGTTAGGGGAAACGAAGCAAAGCCCGCCAGCCTACCAGCCCAGTGCCTGCTATGTGTGAGATGCTCTGGAAAAGGCAGGCTTCCAGGGGCCAGCCTGCGGGGCTGACTGGAACCTTGGTCGAGGCCTCTTCAAAGAGATGTGCTTGTCCAGTCATTTCAATTGTGTCCGATTCTTTGGGAACCCCTTGGGGGTTTTCTTGCAGAGATACTGGAGGGGTTTGCTATTTCCTTTAGCACATTTTACAGGTGAGGAAACTGAGGCAAACGGGTTAAGTAACTTGACCAGGGTCCTACAGCTCCTAAGTGTCTGAGACTGAATTTGAATTCGGGTCTCTCAGGTGTTTCTGACTCCAGGCCTGGCATTCCGTCCATTGCGCCACCTAGCTGCCTGAGGAGACGCACGTGTTTTCATTATCATTGTATATTGGAAGGTGGGCCTGGTGTGGCAGGTAGAGTACGGGAGCGGGGGCCAGGAAGACCTCTGCCCAGATCCTGCCCCTGACGCTTGTTAGCTGTGTGACTCTGGAGAGGTCACTTGCCCTTGTTGTGCTTCCTGCAGTTCCCTCTGGTTGATCTGCTCAGGGGACAGATGGGGTTTGGTTAGAACTGGTGAAAGGTAGTTCTCGCAGTGGAGCTTTCTCACACATGTTTCATCAGTTTGACAATAAAAATAAACATACATCTAAGTAGCACCATTTGGAAAAATGTTACGACCTCATCCTGTGTGGGAAAGGAATGCTTTTTTTGTATTTTAAAGAAGTGAACTTCTCTGCAGCGTCTAGCTAATGCCAGCTCTGTCAGGCCGAGATGGCAGATCCTCCTGAGCTGCAGCAGGATGGCGTCTGCACTGAGTGTGTCACTGAGCGCTCGGGGCCAGGGGGCTCCTGGCTTTCCCAAGGCGGGGTGAGCCAGCCCAAGTCAGTGCAGGACCAGGTCAGAGCTCCATGCTGATGAGTAAAGAGATTGGGCCCCTGAGTGGCCCCTGCACTTCCAGGCTGGGTGAGATGGGGACACCCACCATTTAAAACAAAAAGAAAAAGAAAAAGAAAAAACTCACGTAACATACACAGTCTACGCAGGCCACTAAATGGTAGTGGTTGACAGTGTTTTGTTGAGAACCCGAGATGATAATGCACTCCAATTTTGGATTTTTCATGGGTGGACTTTTAGTCATTTCTCTTATAGAGGGAGAAAGTTTGTGTATTTTTTGAAACGTGACTAGCTTTTAAATCTGCACCCCTACAGTAGAGGCAGCTTTAACTTATTTTTCTTACTCAAAAGAAACTGAGGTTTGGTTTGACTGGAAGGTGGATTAACTGTGATCCTGGTGTATTTCATACCAAAGTGACCAGCTGCCCTTTTCCTCCAAGGGCAAGGTAATATCGTGTGACCACCTTTTTGCTCAACTCTTTGGCTACGCGTCCTTGGAAGAAGTGATAGGGAGCGAGATCACAGACCTGATTCCTTCTCTGCGGAGGCCATCCCTGGGCCAGCAGATCATGGAGGTATGAGCTGCCGTGGTCGCTGTCGAGCAGAGCCTTTTCTCCGGTGGCTTTGGCTGACTGGGGAACAAATTCAGTCTGTTTTCTGATTCTGTTTTCTGACATTTAAGCTCAGGATTCCTGATGTAGAGTTTTTGGAATTTCTGGATATCAGCTAAGGCAGGGAGTTTTAACCTTGGGTCCATGAACTTGTTTTAAAAAATATTTTGATAACTGTACTTCAGTATAATTGGTTTCCTTTGCAATCCTCTGTATTTCATTTTAAATATTTAAAAACATGATTTTGAGAAGGGGCTCACCCCCAGATCTCCAGACTGAGTTGGAGAAGGAAGGAGGGGGGAGAGAGAGGCCCTGGTCCAGGACCCAAAAGAGAGGACAAACCCTGGCCCAGGGCTCTCTGTCTGTTCTTTGAGTGACTGTTTGCCAGATCTACCAGGTACAGTCTCTTGCCATTGATTTAGGCATTCGAAATACTTCTTCTAATTTGGATTCAGAGATTTTCCTACTTAAAGCCCTATTTTTCCCCCCTTTTTTTGTTGGTGACTGAATTGGAATATGGACGTCTCTTGGACTCCAGCCTTCTGCCCTCCTGACCACTGGGGACTGCTTTGGGACTAGGGGAGGTGGGAAATCCCTATCGGAAGTAAAGACATCAGTAAGAAGGGAAGGTTGCAGGGGTGAGTGGCAGTCAGCCATTAGACATCTATTAAGTGCCTGCTGTGTGCCAAGTGCTGTGGGTGCAGAGAAAGACACAAACCCAGTTCTGCTCCTCAGGGAGTTTGTAGTGTAGGGGAGGAGTTAACTGGCAAGCCCTTGGATGCTTGCCAGCTATAGATGTGGTCCCCTCCGGATAGTTAGGGAAGCCTTGTGGTGTGTGTCCGTGAGGAGAAAAGTGAGCACAGGAAGGGCGGGAGGGAGCCTGCCTTCCTTCCTTGCCCCAGCCCTGCTCTAAATCAGCTGCCTTGGCTTTCATAGGACCTCAGGATTCAGAGGCTGACGGGCAGAACCAAGGATGGCAGAGCCTTCCCCTTGAGCTTAAAGCTGCGGACGGACATCCCGGAGGAGGAGGAGGAGGAGGGCCAGGAGGCCCCTTCGCTGTTCGTCTACTCGGCCTCCCTCTGGATTTTTACCACCATCAGCGGCTTAATCACTCTTCAGCCTGATGGGACCATCTATGGCATCAACAGCAATTTTGCTCTAACATTGTTTGGTTATGAAAAGGTGGAGGTGCTGGGGAAGGTAGGGATTCCTTTTGTTTTGTTCTCCTGTCCGTTCTCTTCTGGGGGAGCAGAGACGACCCTGCGGTCCAAGTCAGACCCCATGAGAACGCCCCTTCACATGCTGGACCCGTGGGGAGGGGAGCGCACAACTTGCCAAGACAGCTGTCCTCATCTGCAGCCCAGACCTGACTCCCGTTCTCCCTCTCTGGGCTCAAGCTTTAGACGCATCCTCTTTCACTTGCCAGCGCTTTAAGATCTTGGAGAAGCTGTGGCTACTTCATTCAGTCAAGAAGCATTTATTAAGCACCAGCTGTGTTCCAGGCATAGTGTTAGGCGCTGGGGAAGCCAAGCCAAAGAAGGAAGCAGCCCCTCCTCTGAAGGGGAAGCGATGAGTGTCCACATGAGTAGAGAGACAACAAACAGGGGAAACCAACGCACATAAGACAAGGGGGTTTGAGAGGGAGGTCAGGGGGTGAGCCTTCCAGGCTAGGGATGGCCAGCAGCAGTGCAGGGCAGCAGCTCAGGCCCAGAGAGGGGACGTGGAGCGTGGGATGAGATGTGGAGACACGCTCACTGTACGTCAGGCACCATGCTAAGCACTCTACACAGGTGAACTCATTTGGGGCCGGGCTGCGGAAAGTTTTAGAAGATCTAAGAGTTAGTAGTTTATCCTCGAGGCAATAAGGAGCCATGGACTTGATTGAGTGGGGGTGAATTTGTCAGCAGTATAGGACGCACTGGAATGGGGGGGACTTGAGGAAGGAGACCAGGTAGGGGGCGCTCTGAAAGGGGGATGGTTGGGGGTTCTGTTTTAAACATGTCCCTAGTAAGGGCTCTCCAGCCTAAATATCTTCTATTTTAAAAGAAAAAATTATTCTGAATTTAACAAACATCAAATAAAATGAACATTTCCACATATAAAGTAGAACATAAAAAAGAGGCTGGTATATGAAACTGCAAATTTCTTTTAGATAGAACTTGCTTTTTCTTTGAAGCTTATGCCAAATGCACATGTCCCTTTCAAAGCTGTCCTGTTTGTCTGTCTTCCTGTTGAGCCTTCCTTCTCTTCCCTTCTGGGCATTTAACATTTTTATTTTTATTTTGAATTTAAGAAACACCACAGTGGGCATTTCCATAGACTTGGTAGAAAAATAAAGAGGATTGTCCATGAAAACTATAGATCTCTCTTACGTACAGTTTGCTTTTCTTTTAAAATATATAATAAGCTTTACCTGTATCTTTCAAAACTATCCTTTGTTGTGCTTCTTCACAGTTTTCCTTCTCATTTCTTCATTTCTAAAAACTAATGCTTCAATAACCCTATTTCCTTCCTTCCTTCCTTTTCTTTCTTTCCTATCCTCTTGGTCCTATCATACTTCCATCAGAGGGACGCTCTTTTAACAAATATGCACAGTGGCTGTGGCTGAAAACGTCCATTTTGTTCTTCACGAGGAGTCCATCACGTCTCTTGTCAGGTTGTGACTCACAGGTTTCACTATCATTTCTCTGGAATCTTGGTTTATTATTTTCCATTTATTATTTTATATTATTAAATGTTAAATTTATTATTAATATATTTAATATAAATATTATTTATTATTCCATTGATCTGTTTTCTTAGGTGTCTCCACATGCTTCTTTATGTTACTATCGTATAAGTTATCCTCCTGGTTTTGCTCGCTTCATCCTGCGTCAGTTCTTCCCAGATTTCTTTGAAACTCCCCATTTTGTCATTTCTCACAGGATGAAATTATTCTCTTGTATTCAGAGACTATGATTTGTTTAGCCATGCCCCAACTGAAGAATAGCTTCTTAGGTGTCACCACAAAAAGAGTTTCTGTCCATATTTGTGTACACACAGAGCCTTTTACTCTTTGATCTTTTTCCTGTATGGACCTAGTAATGGTGTAGCTGGATCCAGCTTTGCACAGTTCAGTGACTTTTGGGGTATAGTTCCAGACTGCTTTCCAGAATGACTAAACTAATTTATATCTCTGCTGACGGTGCATGGGGGTACCTGTAGCCCCTTCCAACAGTAATCATTTTCCTTTTTTTCCTTCTTTCTGTCTTTTCCAATCTGATATGTGTGAAGTGAAACCTCAGAGTTGCTTCAAATTACATTTCTCCAATTATCAATGATTTGGAACATTTTTTCATACAGCTGTTAATAGTTGAATGTACTCATTTTCTTCCATAGAGCTTCATGTGATATGGTTCCAAGGCGCTTTACCATCCTGATTGCCCCCTGGATGGTATTTTCAGCTCAGTGCCTAGTACGCAGTAAGCACTTCAGGGGTACACATTTGTGTGCATGGTACATGAATGTGCTTACTTCGTTGGCTTCTGCCCATTGAACAGTGCTCTGTCCGCTGCCTCCCGCAGATCTTACTCTGACTGTGACCTTGCCATTCTTCCTTTGATTGTCCAGCGTCTCAGAATGCCTTCAGTGGAGGTGTCTTTGTAGACTCGTGGAATTTTAGAGTTGTATGCTCTTGCCTGCTCCCCTCCTCGATTTTGTTCCTGAGGCTGGGAGAGGGGAAAGTGTTTGCTTCCCAGTGATCTCCTGGCAGAGGTTGTACCCTTCTGTCCACTGGCACTGCTGGTGTTTTTTCCTTCCTCTCTCTACCAGAGGAAGTAGATGTTTTAGCCAGTAGACAAAAAAAGAGAGATTACTTTCAAAATTAGTTGACCTCATAAAAACCTGTACTCATAGCTGCTTTTTTGAGGTACTGGGTGGAGACAGACAGAAGAAGTGTGTCACTCCATGAAGGCCAAATCATGAGCTCAGCCTGTCGTTGGTGAACCATCCATAGAATCTGCTGATCTCCAACAGAGGCCATTTACTCCAACCAATTGTCAAAACATGAATCCCCCCCACGAAAAGGCCACTGCCTTTATCCATGAAACTTCAGCAAGAGGCAGATCTTTGTACGTGTGTGTGAGTGTGTGTGCGTGTACATGGCATTGTAAAGAGAAGGGACAGAGCCAAAGGAATGAAAATCTTTTGCAGATCTGTTTGTTAAACTTGTTTTACTTTCTTTAATCTCTCTTATTTCTCACTCTCTATGTCTCACTTCTCTTTCTTTCATTCTCCCCTTCTCTCCTCCTCCATCTTTCCCTCTCTCCTTCTCTCTGTCTTCCCCTCCTCTCACCTTCTTCTTCTTTGTTGTCATTATAGACTCTGCTCGGGTTCTGAATCTTAAACGTTGTGTGTTTTTAGAACATCACATTTCTGATACCTGATTTTTACAACCAAGTGGACCTGGTAGAAAATAGCCCCGTGCCGTCGCTCAGTACTGTTAGTGTCTCGGAAGGAAGAAATGAGAATAAGGCGGAGAAGGGGAAGGAAGATGATAAAGAGGCGCGTCGTACAGAGAGTGCCAAAGGTAAAAATGGCCGTAGCGTGCGCCGACATTGCGAGCATTTGTGGGGAGCCTTCCCCTGCTGCACCAGCACACTAAGTGTCATTGTAGGCAAGAGGAAGCTTGCAGCTGAATTAGGAAGGCATGATGGACATAGGATTTCGGCAGGGTCCCAGAATCTCCCATTTGAAGAGGGATCAGAAGGTACGCAGCCCAGCTCCGGCCTGAAGCAGGCATCTCCTTAACAGCATGCCCACTGAGTGCTCCTCCAGTGTCCAGGGAAAAGGTCCCAGAGATGAGGGTTCAGATCCTCCCGAGGTGGCCAGTTCCATGTTTTGGACTACTCCAGTCACTATAAAATTGTTCCTCATTTTGATCTAAAAGCTGCCTCTTTGCACTGTCAGTGTTTTATTTATGTTTGTAGGGGCCAAACAAAATCCATCTCACCTGTGATAAGAGAATTTCTGCAAACGGAGAAGGACCCCTTCCCTCTTGTCTCTTTCTCTCTTTGTATTCCCAACCAGGCCAGAAGTAAGAGCACAAAGGAGATTATATCTTTTGAAAGCTTTGAAACTTTTGGTAAAAAAACAAAAAAAACCTTCCTACTCTTTTCCTGCTTGTCCTTAAAATATCTCCCTGTGAAAATTTCATCAAAGGGCTGGTGGATATCCCTGTTTATTAAGAAGGCAAGATTAGTATCAGAATTGCCATAATGACACCAGGGAGAGCTCATTTGTGTATGAATCCTTAACAATTAACTTAAGCATATGCAACATTTCTAAATCAAAAGATCCTCTCTGGGCCCAACAGTGGTGTATTTTGGCTGTTACTACAGGCCATATATTTTTATTGTGTCTAACCAGGCCAGAGTTTCCATATTGGGAGTAGATTCACCCAGGGATAATTTAGCTTCCAGAATCTACAGGCAGTTGTCACAAACCAAAATTACCAGAACCAGCCCAGAGTTATTAAAACCTGAGGAATGTCATAATGATCGCAGGCTATTGAAGGCATAATTGAGATGTCGATTTTATACCATTAGTCATAGGGATCCTACTGACAACTTGAAATCTATGTTAGACCAGACTAGATGAAGATGCCCAGGAATTTAGACAGGAATGGTAGCCAAGGCAGCACAATAAATACAGATGGCAGACAGCCAGGCAGACGAGTCTCTTGCCTGTAGGGTTTGGAAGAATCCTAGACCTAGCCAGATATTCACCCAGAAAGAAAGAAGGCCTTCCTGTTAAAACGTCAGGTCCTCAACCACACCCTTGCTTTTGAGACCTGTATCACAGCCCGATGCTCATCAGAATATCATTGTGACTGATCCCTCAGAGGTTAATGGTTTACATCTAATTGACTGTTCAGGCACAAGAGACAGATACACGAATAGGCAATGTAGATCAATACTTAAAACACTCACCTGTTTTTGTGATTTCCCAGATAGCACTGCAAATTTACTGGGCAGTTGGTTTTTCCTGCCCATAATTCTTCCTAGGTAAACTCTACCTTGTGCATGTCAGAGGAGTTAATGGGCTGGAACGTTTGATCAAATTTTGAAAAAATTGTCCTGGAGTCAGCTTACTGGGTACTGCTCTCAATCACCAATCGATGACACAGAGATAGGAGAGTACAGTGCAGTTTCATTTTGTTCAGAGTGCAGGTTTCATCCTACCCCAGTCAGTCAGTGAGCTCCGAGCTTCAGCTTCAGCGGCTCTGTGTAGCATCTGAGTACAGAAGCAGGATGGGTACAGAGGCATTTTACAGAGAGCCGAAGATATAGACTTATACTTTAGGAAGCAGAGTAGACGGAGGAAAGAAGGATGTTTGTATCAGGAATGACAGGAGACTAGCTGGTCCAATCTAAGGCTGCAGTTTATGTCTCAAGCTTGAGTTTTGCAAACTTCAGCAGTAAATTTGGCCTGCTTCTTTAAGCCAGCAGTGGCAGGAAGTTGGAATCTGAGCCAGAGTTTTTCTTAGCACAATGGTAGCAAGAAGCCTGAGCCAGAAATTGTTGAATCACCCACCCCACTTCCCATGACAGCCTCTCAGATACTTGGTGATAATGATTGTGTTTCTTCTAAGTCTTTTCTTCTTTAGAAAGTTCTTTTTCATGATGGTCAATAAACATTTATTAAATGTCTACTCACGTGCCAGGCACTATGCCGAGCCCTGACTGGTCCCTGCCCTCAAGGATCTTACAGTTTAGCGGGGGAAGACAACGTTAAAAAGGAAGCTGAAAAGGGGGGTGGGAGGGAAGGTACCTGGTATGGGTGGCCAAAGGTGTGTAGCTTGAGGGCAAATGAGATAGCTCTGCCTGGGGAGCCCACTGAAAGAATGGAGGCTTTGGGAGGTGTTCCTCGGTCTGTCCTCTAGCCCTCCAGTCAGAATGAGAGAAGGTATTGAGGGCACTCCCAAAGCTGATGTAGTCTGGCAGGATGGTGAGGCTCCTTGGGGCATGACGGTTGGGATCCAGTTCAAAGGAGTGAAATGATCTGTGGTTTTTTTTTTTTGGTTGTCTTCCTTTGGACACTATCTTGTCCCTGTCCCACCTAAAACGTGGGCATTTGAAATAGACTCTTTCCTCCCTTTTTCCAAGCCTCACCTGTAAGCACAGTTTATAGTGCATTTCTTTCAGTGGAGGCTGGTGTTCTTTTCCAGATAATTATTAATTCTCCTTATGTCTGTGACGAGAAGGGAGAATAAGACCCAGCTGGTTCCAATCAGGAAGCATTTGTTCAGTGCTGGGTTGCTGGGAAAAAAGAATATTTCTGTTTTTCCCTCCTAGGTGCCAATGTTAATATGTTGCATTCTGCAAATGAACTTCGCCAGATCCTGGAGGACCAGGAATCAGCAAGACCCTCAAGAGACCCCAGCAAGATGGTGACTCCAGTTGAAAATGATGGGAACAGTTCTGCACTTTCTTTTTCACCCACACCAGGGTAAGCTGCTTGAAAACTATAACCATGCTGTTGTGCCCAAGGGCAAAGGAATTCCCCTGTGGTATATTCACAGGAGAAGAATAGAATTTTAGACCTGAAGGAGAACTCAGAGATCATTTGGTCCAATGGTAACTCATCAACATGACGTGAATGGTCCAATGTCACCAAAACCAGGAGGAGCCCAGCCAGAACTAGCCCTTGGCCTGCCTACGTTGGAGCTCAGGGCTCTGTCTGTTACTTCAGGAAGGAGGTCTCTTATTAGCTTCTGCACCTGGGGGCTCCACTTTGGGGGGATGGATGGGGTTTTCAAGTTCTTGTTGGTTGGCTATATACCTGTATGCATTCATGTAGATGTATGTTTACCCGTGCAGGTCCATGTGTGTCGATGTACAAGTATGCGTACATACACACGCTCACACAGACATCTACTAACAGCAGGTTCAGGGCACTCAAAATTCTGAGCGAGTTGTTATTCTATAAAATTCTGTTAGAAAGAAAAGGTGATGGGAATTTTCAGGTAGATTGAATGACAGATTGAGGCACGGGCAGTGAAAGGACTTGCCCGATGCCTCCAAAAGCCAGTTCCCACAGGGACTTGAGAGCCGCGGCTCATGCTCTTTTGATTGCATTGGCCCTGTGCTTTAGACGTGAGCCCCAAGAAGGAGGCAGAGCTTTGGCACACCGTGACACTGAGCTCCACAAATATCCCAGTGGGCTGTATGGCTGTGTGATTGGAGCTGTGCATTCCCGAATGAGTTCAGTGACATTGAAGGCACAACCCCCATCTTCTCCTCCCCACGCGGGGTGAGAAGGGATGTGTCCATGGAACGGCTTGTTCTCGTATGAGCCGAATTACCGACCATCTCGGAGGGCCTTTTGCATCCAATGCTGGCAACTGGAGAGTGAAGCCATGCTGAGTGAGGCAGCTTAGACATAGCAGGCTTCTGGAGGGGTTGAGTGTAGAGAAGGCCAATGGCTAAAGGAGGCCATCAGATGGTAGGCAAATGGAATTTGTAGAAAAGATGTTACAATGCAGGTCCGTATTTCAAGGGGAGGGCTATTGAGGATGGCATCATTGCTCAGCGTGCTACATTCATAATTGGAGTAAGTGGTGCCTATTTTTAAACCTCTCTACCACTTCTCTCCTCCAAAGCCTTCTCCTGCTGTGGATGGAGGGGGACCCTGCACTTATGTAGGCTTTGCTGGACTGTTGCTAGCCCACACTGGAAAGGTTTACAGTGCAGAGTAGTTGATGGTCTGGCTCTACATTGCCTTAGTGCTGCCCACGCTAAGTTCCAGGAGCCTCTATTCAGTAGAATGGCCACTGGGAGAAGGGCTTTTTTGGAGATAGCAGCCCATAAAGCTGTGGGAGAGATATGGCCGACATCCATGAGGGAGCCGTCACGTGGGTGATATCATAGACAATATTCCTACTGGAATCTTTCAGATTTTGTGAACCATTTCTTCCTTTGCTAAAGCTCCCAGGGATAAAAGCCTGAGATTTTCAATAGAGAGGCAGTCAGCCTCTGTGTGTTGATTTCTAGCACAGTGGAGGTAGTAGATAGCATACTCTTTTATTTTTGCTTCTTGTTGGTTGTGATGGAACCATGTAAGCCATGTTACTATCCTCAGGATGGATAATGTCATTGCTGATGGTCCACCTGTGCAAGAGGAACAGCCCTCGTCTATGGGAGCGTCTGAGGAGGAACTTGCAGAGTTGGGGACGGTGCAAGGCCAAAAAAGCATAATTGGCATCTTGAAGAAGGACTCTGACATTCAATCTAAAAGAGACCCTAAAAACCACCCACAGAATTCAGTTGCTATATTGGGAGAATCCTCTTCTCAACCTAGGGTCTTGGAAAATGCCAGTGGAGAAAGTGACTTGTCAGGGGCCCCAGGTGTTAGTGAAGTCACAGATGGTGACATGAACTCCTCTGCTTCTGGGGGTAAGGATCACTCTCCTGAGACTTTAGGCTCCGAGGCGACTCCTCCACCCAGTGAGGATGGGCAGAAGCTGGACACCTCTGAGGACAGCCGAGGAGGATCAGCACCAGCTCTTTCAGCCCATGGCCCTCCAAAATATAATAACGTGGATCCCTCAAAAGGCCCACTGGAAAAGCAAGCACTGAATGCTCGAGCAACCTCCACCCCTGTGAAAATGGAGAGGACACAGACCCCGAGACCTGGCTTCGAACCGGAGATCCAGGAAGGCACTTACGCGGGGACCGGTTATCACCGCGATGGCACCGGGCTCAGTAAGTACATCAAAGGATTTGCGTTAATTCTTCACATAGAAATGTGGATGCCACCACACAATTTGGGGTTTTATTGTAATAACTTCTTTGTGAGTTTTTAAAATCTTCCTAGTATTTTTGGTGGAAAGGGTTCACTCGTGTATTTCTGATTTCTGTGTGCCTTTGTAAAATGGATGATTTTAAAGTCTGCATTAAGGATAAATCTTAAACCTGGTAGTTTGTTGTCTGGACCGTTCAGATCTCCCTGCCTAGGGAAGCTTTGATGCTCATAGAACTCGTCTTCTACTATTGCCCCTCAACTCACCCTTCTGTATTTCATTTTTATTAATCTTACCAATGGTTTTTCTTTTGATTTCCCAAACAAGTTTGTGTCTTAATCTTAAATTCATATCTCTATAGTGCTTTCCTCTTGTCATAATACTTTTGTACTCTGTTTTCTCTCAAGAAAATTTGAGGGTAGATCAAGGAAATTTTCTAAAGTGTTTCTCAATTTTAACAAAGCGTTTAACAATCTGATGATATTTTAGTGAATAAGATGGTTAAATGTAGGCTGAATTATAGCACATTTAGGTAGATTCATAGCCTATCAACTGATTGTATGTAAAGAATGTTGATTTAACAACATTTTGCTGACCTATTAAAGTTCCCTGGGCCTTTCTATTCACCCTGCTGCTGCATTCTTAGTACTTGCAAGCTTTTCCAGCCTCTGAATTCTTTTATGTGTTGTCTCCCTCAGAGTGCCAAAGGAGAGAAGGGGGCATATGAAAGAGAAGTTACGAAGGTAGAAATGATAGAACTTGACCACTGATCGGATGGGTGGGGGGATGAGAAAGAGTGAGGAGTCAAGGGTGATACCTAATTTGTGGGCTTGGGTACTGGGAAGATGGTGGCACCCTCAACAGTAAGTGGGAAATTAGGAAGAGGGAACGTTTTTTTGGGACAGATCATGAGTTCAGTTTTGGGCATGTTGCATTTAAGGTGTCTGTAGGACATCCAATGCAAGATGTCTAGTAGATATTTGGAGATGTGAGCCCGAAGAGGAGCAGGAAGGTTAGGGCATAGAGATGATAAGTGAGTCTGTAGGAGCTGATGGGATCACCATATAATCATCAAGGACTGGTTAGGGAGCCATTTGTCTTAAAGAGATCTGGGGTCTGGTGGATTACAAGTCAGAAGGATTATACAGCAGCAAAGAAAGCTGATAGAAACTTTGGGTACACTAACACATGCATGGCTTCCAAGAATAAGGGGGCCATAGTTACGGAATTATATAGGCTCATAGTTCTACCTCTGGCTTTCTTAGCCCTGAGGTTATCAAGCGGCAGCCGAGTCTTCCTGAAGACAAGAGGATGGAGGGAATGAGGCTGGGAATCTAGTCTGTTACCCACGGAGCAGGCATTTCAGAGGGCACTGTGGAAGACGTGTCAGCTTGAGAGCGAGAGGTTGGGGGTTGAGAGAACAGACCAGGATTTAGACAGTGCCTGGGAGGGGCACTGCGCTGGGGTGGGTATGACGTTCTTGAGGAAAGAGGCTTTCCCCCCCCACGTAATAATATTTTATTTCTTCCAATTATATGTCAAGATAGTTTTCAACATTCACTTTTGTAAGATTTTGAGTTCTGAAAATTTCCCCCTCCCTCCCCTCCCTTCTCCCCAAGACTGCATGCAATCTGATATAGGCTCTACATGTACAATCATATTAAGCATATTCCCACATTAGTCATGTTGTGAAAGAAGAATCAGAACAAAAGGGAAAAACCACAAGAAAGAAAAAACAATAATAAAAAAGTGAAAATGGTATGCTTCGATCTGGATTCAGGCTCTGTAGCGCTTTCTTGGAAGGTGGTCAGCATTTTTGATTGTTGTATTGCTGAGAAGAGCTAAGTTTATCAAAGCTGGTCATCGCGCAATGTTGTCGTTACTGTGTACAATGTTCTCCTGGTTCTGCTCACCTCACTTTGCATCAGTTTCAGTTTTTATGAAACCATCCTGCTCATCATTTCTTTTTTTAAGTTTTATTTATTTGTTTGGTTATAGTTTTCAACATTCACTTCTATGAGATTTTGAGTTCTAAATTTTCTTCCCCTCCCTCTGCTGCCTCTTCCCTGAGATGATGTGCAATCTGATATAGGCTATACATGTACAGTCATATTAAACATATTTCCACATTAGTCATGTTATAAAGAAGAATTAGAACCAAAGGGAAAAAACACAAGAAAGAAGAAACAAACCAAAAAAATAGCAAATAGTATGCTTCGATCTGCATTCAAACTCCATAGTTCTTTCTTTGGATGTGGATAGCATTTTCCGTCATGAGTCTTTTGGAAATGTCTTAGATCCTTGAGTTGTTGAGAAGAGCTAAGTCTATCAAAGTTAGTCCTCGCCCAATGTGGCTGTTACTGTGTAATGTTCTCCTGGTTCTGCTGTCTTCACTCAGCATCAGTCCATACGAGTCTTTCCAGGTTTTTCTGAAGTCCACCTGCTCATCATTTCTTATGGAACAATAGTATTCCATTACATTCATATACCACAACTTGTTCAGCCATTCCCCAACAGATGGGCATCCCCTCAATTTCCAATTCTTTGCCACCACAAAAAGAGCTGCTATAAATATTTTTGCACAGGTGGGTCCTTTTCCTTTTTTATGATCTCTTTGGGATATACACCTACTAGTGGAATTGCTGGATCAAAAGGTATGCACATTTTTATAGCCCTTTGGGCATAGTTCCAATTTGCTCTCCAGAATGGTTGGATCAGCTCACAACTCCACCAACAATGCATTAGTGTTCCAGTTTTCCTATATCTTCTCTAACATTTATCATTTTCCTTTTTTGCCATGTTAGTCAGTCCAATAGGTGTGAGGTGGTACTGCAGAGTTGTTTTAATTTGCATTTCTCTCATCAATAGTGATTTAGAACACTTTTTTCACATGACTATAGATGGCTTTAATTTCTTCCTGTGAAAACTGCCTGTTCATATCCTTTGACCATTTATCAATTGGGAAGTGACTTGTATTCTTATATGTTTGACTCAGTTCTCTACATATTTTAGAAGAGGAAAGAGTTCTGGTTGGTATCATTGTCTACAAGGGTTCTGCCTCCAGTGGAAGATGTTAGGCAGCTCTAAGTGGCTGGAAAGGTAGGCATGTTTTGTGGGGTGCCTGGGGCTGTACTGGAAGGGCACAGGGAAGGCAGTCCCTATGGAGCTGTCCAAATACAATAAGACATGAGCAGAGGTCATGCTTTCTGGACAGTGGTCTTTTTCATAAGCTATTTTGTAACAATTTTTCCAGTATTGGGGAGTTTCTACATTGGGCAATGACTGAGAAAATACAAAGGCCAATTAGGGTTACATTTCTTTTTTCTGATCTTTTCGTCCTCTATATAGCTAATTTAAGTATTGCTGATACTGAAACAAAAAAACCATGTAAAACATGCAGCTTATTTAGCGAACCTAACTCTTGTGGATCCAGCAGAGACTGCTGTACTTTGGCAAAAAGGAATCAGTAAAAAAGTGCCTACACATGTTTTCCTTTTCTCTTTCCCTCTTTCCTTCCCTCCCTTCTGTTCCCCAAGGGGAGCCATCTTAAAAATGTGTGTGTGTGCATATACAGCCACACACATATTATTCTGCACTTAGCCAACACCAAGTAAAATGAGCATTTCCGCATCCATTGTAGAGCAGAAAGGAGGCTGCTGTACATGAAACTATGAATCTCTATGAGGCAGAGCTTGCTGACGGGTTTGCTCATCTGCCCATCGTGGGAGACTCTTGTCAAATTCCTTGGACGCTTTTATACACTCCTAGTTTCCCACTCATTAGGCATGCCTTCTTCTTCCCCTCTCCCTTCTGCCCTTCCCTTTAATGCCTAATCTCTTGGCTTTGGTCCCGTTAATCTGTTATTCTCTTGTGCCTTCTTTGCCAGGGTAGCAGGAGGGTGTTTCTTCCCCAGGGCCCTGCTTCTTGCCCATGAGTTCTCCTCTCCTCTTGCCTTTCCTTATGGTTCAGGGACTGGTCTCTTGCTCAAACCAAAACATCAAGCTTCTCTGGCCCTGGTCACATAATGGCCTGGCTATTTGCCTCCTTGAAACTCTCCAGCTCTGAACTCCAGTTAGATTCTACCCATGCAGAACTGAATATACTCTGGAAAGCTTTTACAGACCTTCTAGAAGCTGATAAGTGCTTTTGGATCCAGGGGAAGTCTGCAGCAGAATGGCACCCCTGAATCTTTTACTGGGTGGCCACAGGACCTCTTAGGGTCTCTGGCCCAGTATAAAGTCTTCATGGAATGCCCACGTGGCCCAGGCCAAGGTTTTCATTGTCATCTCCTACCTGATGGAAGAAGCCCTCCACTAGGTGACGATTAGAACTGCCAGCTTCAGAGAGCTTCTCTTTCTGAAATTTTTCCCCACAGTGCACCAGTGTTGAGACCTATAAAGCCTAATGGTTTAGAAGTTCTCTTTCAAAGTCAGGGACAGAAAGGCCATGAAGTGGATTATAAGGATTGGTTGGCCTGTGAATGAATGGGGACAGGGTGCTGGGATGGCTTTTACCTAGAGCATGGTCTTTGACGAAACTTGCATCTGGATAGTGTTGAAGTCCCAGGGAGCAGACAAATCAGACTGGGTGTACCCCAAAGTACGCAGCCTTTTGCCTCTCCTGGAGGGAGTTCTTAGGAGGTGAGCCCAGAGAATTAGGGGTGTGAGTGGGAATCATCATCACATTTCCTCTTGCTGGTTATTCCATCTTTAGAAGGATTAAATTATCATAAATTTTTAAAAAAATTACTCTGTTGTTGTGACACAGTAGAAACTTCCCAAGAAAAAAAAACACCAGGAAATCCTGGCCACAAAGTTTATTCTCCCCAACATGGTTCACTTACGGATTTTCAAACTTGAGTGAGTGATGCTTAGCACACCTATGCTCCTCCAGCAGCATCAGAATGCTTTAGGCTCTGGATTGTTAGCAGAAAAGTTGGATCGTCTAGGCCTGACCCCGAGC